TGTGTGTGTACGTGTGTGTGTACGTGTGTGTATTTGTGTGTACGTGTGTGTGTTTGCGTGTACATGTGTGTGTACGTGTGTGTGTGTGTGTACGTGTTTGTGTACCTGTGTGTGTGTACGTGTTGGTTGTGTACTCGTGCGTGTGTGTGTGTGTACGCGTGTGTGTGTACGCATGTGTGTGTGCGTGTGTGTGTTGGTTGTGTACGCGTGTGTGTGTGCGTGTGTGTGTTGGTTGTGTATGCGTGTGTGTGTGCGTGTGTGTGTTGGTTGTGTACGCGTGTGTGTGTTGGTTGTGTATGCGCGTGTGTGTGTACATGTGTGTACGCGTGTGTGTGTGTACCTGTGCGTGTGTACGTGTTGGTTGTGTACGGGTGTGTGTGTACGTGTTGGTTGTGTACGCGTGTGTGTGTGTACAAGTCACGAGGGGGGTGGGGCGGAAACCTCTGACCCCAAGCGCTCCTCTCGGCTATTAATAGGCGCTCGCAAAGCAGCTGTCATGCCAACTTCGAGTTCCTGGGACAACCCCTCATCCCTGCAGCTATTCATAGGGGACGTCATCCCCGCTTCTCTTTCTGGCCCGTGACGAAGACGACGCCACCCAGCAGGGAAATGGATGATGGGTGGAGGTTTTTGTTTATCTAAATGATATTGGTTCGCGAAAGTCTACAGTGTCTGGCCGGCTTCATTTGTAGCGGTTGTTACGAATCTGGAAGTAGCGAAAACACATTCCTGCGGAGGGAGCTGGTAGGAACGTTGGGTTGCTCGGTCAATGGCCAGGGTCAACGGCGGCGTGGTGTATTCCGCAAATATGCCCGACTGTGAGGGCGGGCACAAGCCGGCGTGAGTAGGTTAAACGTTGAGTTTTATAAGGGCACCACGGGGTGACCAGCCCCTCCCCACCCAGCCCCTCCCCACCCAGCCCCCTTCACACAACAGGGGCTTGCGCACAAACACGTCCACGTACACGTACACCTCGTGTTCTCTTTTAGCCCCCCCCCTCCCAATACGTTCCATTCATTGGCTACCACATTCTCCTCCCCCTTAACTTGTATTTAAGAATTTGCATCTTACTCTTAGTTCTTTCGGTAAAGTCACGTAGGTAAAAAATGAAATTAAAATTATAAAAATAAAATCACGACGTTTCGGAGGCAACACAAGTTTCCATCATCAGGTGGGACTGTCACAGCCAGATTTGCTGCATCTACCTACGTGACTTTACTTGATGCAGCAAATCTGGCTGTGACGGTCCCACCTGATGACGGAGACTTGTGTTGCCTCCGAAACGTCGTGATTTTATTTTTTATTAATTTTAATTTCATTTTTTACCTACGTGACTTTACCGAAAAAACTAAGAGCATGAATCCTTGCAGTCACGAAAGCTTCAAATCTAGAACTTCACACAACTGTCTTATGGCCAGTAAGACTTAAACCTATTCTTATACTGGACCCGTAGTTTCACTTCCTCGTAGTTTCTTGTAACCGAATCGGTGTCCCCGCCCGCCGGGGCGATGGAATCGGCCGTCACGAGCTCGTTTAAGGGGGGGCCGTCACGAGCTCGTTTAAGGGGGGCCCGTCATCCAGCAGTGGATCGACCGCGGCCCAGCGGTGACGCGCGCACACGCGCGCCGCTCGTGGCGGTTCGTGGCGGTTCGAGCTCGGCGGCCGCCCTGGTTAATACCGCGGTGGGAATTGTACGAATGGATGTTGAACTTCTTTCGCACCGTGCTATAATGGTGCTGATTGTGACGGTGGCTGATGATGGTGAAGATGGCTGATGATGGTGACGGTGACGATGGCTGCTGATGGTGATGATGACGATGGCTGATGATGAAGATGGCTAATGATTTTTTTTCAACCTATGTGACTTTACCGAAAGACCCAAAGAGTATAGTATGGCTAATGATGGTTACGGTGAAGACGGCTGATGAACGATGATGATGGCTGCTGCTGATGGTTACGGTGAAGATTGCTGCTGATGGTGATGATGACGATGGCTGATGGTGAAGATGGCTAATGATTTTTTTTCTACCTACGTGACTTTACCGAAAGACCCAAAGAGTATAGTATGGCTAATGATGGTTACGGTGAAGACGGCTGATGAACAATGAAGATGGCTGATGATGGTTACGGTGACGATGGCTACTGATGGTGATGATGACGATGGCTGATGGTGAAGATGGCTAATGATTTATTTTCTACCTACGTGACTTTACCGAAAGACCCAAAGAGTATAGTATGGCTAATGATGGTTACGGTGAAGACGGCTGATGAACAATGAAGATGGCTGATGATGGTTACGGTGACGATGGCTACTGATGGTGATGATGACGATGGCTGATGGTGAAGATGGCTAATGATTTATTTTCTACCTACGTGACTTTACCGAAAGACCCAAAGAGTATAGTATGGCTAATGATGGTTACGGTGAAGACGGCTGATGAACGATGATGATGGCTGATGATGATGATGGTACCGGCGAGACCACATTGACGTCGCTCAATGTTTAAACACGGCTTGCAGCCCTCCACGCGCGAGCCAGGTTAACGATTCAATTGATTTTGAAGCCCACTCAAAATTCCGATATTAAATCACCTTTGATGTTTGGAGGAGGAGGCGGTGGGGGAGGGGATTTAAGTGAGAGCCACGCAAAGGATTTAACCGCGGTGGAGGCTGTGGCCAGGGTTCGCCTAAAAATAGATGGAGATTGTGTCGTTAATTCCAGGCACTCTCTCTATCCACTGCTGGATGAAGGCCTCCAAGCGCCGCGTCGATCATGGGAGGTCGTGTGACCGTACTTCACCACGCTGGCCGTTGTGGTTGCTTTAAGGGTAGAGGGGAGCGCGGGATCAGCTGTGACTCTGTGTGCCCCCGCACCTCCGATGGGCACGGTTCGCTGTGTACGGTGCGAAAGAAGTTCAACATACATCGACTCAGATAGACCCGTAGACTCACGCAGAGACCCGTAGACTCTCACAGAGACCCATAGACTCACAGAGAGACCCATAGACTCACAGAGTTACCCATAGACTCACACAGAGACCCATAGACTTACACAGAGACCCATAGACTCGCACAGAGACCCATAGACTCGCACAGAGACCCATAGACTCACACAGAGACCCATAGACTCACACAGATATCGATAGACTCACGCAGAGTCCCATAGACTCGCACAGAGACCCATAGACTCGCACAGAGTCCCATAAACTCGCACAGAGACCCATAGACTCACATAGATATCCATAGACTCACATAGAGACCCATAGACTCACACAGAGACCCATAGACTCACACAGAGACCCATAGACCCATTTCTTTAGAATTGCTATTTGTGTTTAGTTTGTTGTCTTTCCCCCGCACCTCCGATCAGCACGGTTGGCCATGTACGTGCATGCACAGACTGCACGATGATACAGGTTTTTGTGGGGTTAGATCGCGTAAATATAAATGTGTCGGTAAACTTGCCACCACCCGACACAGCCACTTAGTAAGGTTTTTTCATTTAAACGAAACGTGTCAATTTGTTGCGAGTACAGCACTAATCGGTGTGCTGGAGAGAAAATCCACAACGTTGATGATGCTGATGTTGATGCTGGCGATGTTAGTGATGATGATGACGATGACATTGATGATGCTGATGTTGATGCTGGCGATGTTAGTGATGATGATGACGATGACATTGATGTTGCTGATGTTGATGCTGGCGATGTTAGTGATGACGATGACGATGATATTGATGATGCTGATGTTGATGCTGGCGATGTTAGTGATGATGACGATGACGATGACATTGATGATGCTGATGTTGATGCTGGGGATGTTAGTGACGATGACTATGACGATGACATTGATGATGCCGATGTTGATGCTGGCGATGTTAGTGATGATGACGATAACGATGACATTGATGATGCTGATGTTAATGCTGGCGATGTTAGTGATGGTGATGATGATGACGATGACATTGATGATGCCGATGTTGATGCTGGCGATGTTAGTGATGATGATGATGATGATGACGATGACATTGATGATGCTGATGTTGATGCTGGCGATGTTAGTGATGATGACGATGACATTGATGATGCTGATGTTGATGCTGGCGATGTTAGTGATGATGATGATGATGATGACGATGACATTGATGATGCTGATGTTGATGCTGGCGATGTTAGTGATGATGATGACGATGACATTGATGATGCTGATGTTGATGCTGGCGATATTAGTGATGATGACGATGACGATGACATTGATGATGCTGATGTTGATGCTGGCGATGTTAGTGATGATGATGATGACATTGATGATGCTGATGTTGATGCTGGCGATGTTAGTGATGATGACGATGACATTGATGATGCTGATGTTGATGCTGGCGATGTTAGTGATGATGACGATTACGATGACATTGATGATGCTGATGTTGATGCTGGCGATGTTAGTGATGATGATGATGACGATGACATTGATGATGCTGATGTTGATGCTGGCGATGTTAGTGATGATGATGATGACGATGACATTGATGATGCTGATGTTGATGCTGGCGATGTTAGTGATGGTGATGATGATGACGATGATATTGATGATGCTGATGTTGATGCTGACGATGTTAGTGATGGTGATGATGATGACGATGACATTGATGATGCTGATGTTGATGCTGGCGATGTTAGTGATGGTGATGATGATGACATTGATGTTGCTGATGTTGATGCTGGCGATGTTAGTGATGATGACGATGGCGATGACATTGATGATGCTGATGTTGATGCTGGCGATGTTATAGATGATGACGATGGTGATGATATTGATGATGCTGATGTTGATGCTGGCGATGTTAGTGATGATGATGATGACGATGACATTAATGATGCTGATGTTGATGCTGGCGATGTTAGTTATGATGATGATGACGATGACATTGATGATGCCGATGTTGATGCTGGCCATGTTAGTGATGATGATGATGACGATGTCGATGATGCCGCCCCCAGGTACCACGACCCGCAGGACGTAACGAGCAACTTCCTGGGCGCCATGTGGCTCATCTCCATCACTTTCCTCTCCATCGGCTACGGGGACATGGTGCCACACACCTACTGTGGCCGCGGGGTGTGTCTGCTTACTGGCATCATGGTGAGCAGTCTCTCGCGTGCTTGCTCACCCACAAGCCCGCCCGCCCAACTGCTCACCCACCCGCCCGTTCATCCACCCATCCACTCACCCACCCGCTCACCCACCCACCCGCTTGGCCACCCACCCACCCGTTCACCCAGCCACCCGTTCACCTACCCACCCGCTCACCCACCCACCCGCTTGGCCACCCACCCACCTGCTCGCCCTCCCGCCCGCTCGCTCACCCACCCACCCACTCGCCCTCCCGCCCGCCCAACCGCTCACCCACCCACCCACCTGCCCGCCCCTCCCGCCCGCCCAACCGCTCATCCACCCACCCACCCGCCCGCCCAACCGCTCACCCACCCACCGATGCACTCGCTCAACCATTCACTTGCCTACCCACTTGCTCACTCGCATGATCACTTGCACACTCACCGACTCAACCGCTTACCCGCCCATTCACCCGTCCACTCGCTCTTCTAGTCACTCAATCACTCACTCACCCACTTGTGCCCTCGCTCACCCCACACTTGCTCACTCACCGACTTACCCTCCCACTACATCGCTCGCTCACTAACTCACTCACTGACTCGCGTATCCAATTGCTCACTCACCCACCCACCCACTCGCCTCACCTCACCTATTCACTCACTCACTATCCTCACTCACCCACCCACACACTCAACTCATGATAATCGCCATTTCGACACTGATGATGATGTTGATGATGCTGGTAGTGATGATGATGGTGTTTATGATGGTTATGATGACACTGATTATAACGCAGATGATGATGCTGATGATGTTGGTGGTGATAATGATGATGAAACTGATATTGGTGATGACAGAGATGACCACTGTTGATATGAAACTGTTGATGATGATCTTCTTGGTTCTTTCGGTAAAGTCACGTAGAAGGGAAATAATAAAATAATAAAAATAAAACATAATAAAATAATTCTCACGACGTTTCGGCCACAACGCAAGCAGCCGTCCTCAGGTGAAGAACAGGTCTGTCGGAAAGACGCTGCCTTTCCGACAGACGCTGCCTTTCCGACAGACGCTGTCTTTCTGACAGACCTGTTCTTCACCTGAGGACGGCTGTTTGCGTTGTGGCCGAAACGTCGTGAGAATTATTTTATTATGTTTTATTTTTATTATTTTATTATTTCCCTTCTATGTGACTTTATCGAAAGAACCAAGAAGATGAATCCCTGCAGTCATGAAAGCTTTAAATCGAAATTTGTTGATGATGATGATGTTATATTTTTGCATCACAGCATCAGTCATGCAAACTGCATCTCACACCGCTGCGCAATCCGCGACACACGGGAGGTGCGATTTTTGTCAGTCGATTGACGAGCGTTTATACACATCGGAGGAAACGGGAAGACCCGAAGAACACCTATGCGTGCAAGGGGGCAACGCTCGATCCCATGCACGAGGGGCAGATGCTATTGCTCGACACGTTGCTGTACTGCTTTATCCCGGCGATCCAGGGGTGATCTACCAACCCTCGCTTGCTGCCTCCACAGCGCTGGGTTACAGCAGCCACGGGCGCGGCCTTTTCCGCCCAGCTGAGGGTGATGATGATGATGACGCTGATGATGATGTTGATTTTGATGATGATGATTTCACCAATCCAAATGACAATGGGTACGACGCCGGTGATGACGGTGACGTGGGTGATGGTGGTGCCGATGACGCCGATGATGACGGTGACGTGGGTGGTGGTGGCGGCGGTGATGACGATGACGACGGCGGTGGTGACGATGACGGCGGTGATGACGGTGACGTGGGTGGTGGTGGTGATGATGGTGGTGCCGATGACGCCGGTGATGACGGTCACGCGCGTGGTGGTGGTGGCGGCGGTGATGACGATGACGACGGCGGTGATGACGACAACGCCGGTAAAGACGGTGACGTGGGTGGTGGTGGTGATGATGGTGGTGCCGACGACGCTGATGATGGCGGTGACGTGCGTGGTGGCGGCGATGGCGATGACGGCGACGATCACGGTGACGTGGGTGGTGGTGGTGGCGGCGGCGGTGACGATGACGACGGCGGTGATGACGCCGGCGCCGGTGATGACGGTGACGTGGTGGTGGTGGTGATGGAGCAGGGCGCTGGCTGCACGGCGCTCGTCGTGGCCGTAGTGGCCCGCAAGCTGGAGCTCACCAAGGCGGAGAAGCACGTGCACAACTTCATGATGGACACGCAGCTCACCAAGCGGGTGAGCTCACCACCACCACCACCACCACTCACCACGCTCACCACCACCACCACCACGCTCACCACCACTCACCACGCTCACCACCACCACCACCACGCTCACCACCACTCACCACGCTCACCACCACCACCACCACGCTCACCACCACTCAACACGCTCACCACAACCTCACCACGCTCACCACCACTCAACACGCTCACCACCACTCACCACGCTCACCACAACCTCACCGCCACGCTCACCACAACCTCATTCGCCAAGGCGGAGAAGCACGTGCACAACTTCATGATGGACACGCAGCTCACCAAGCGGGTGAGCTCACCACCACCACTCACCACCACTCGCCACAACCTCAGCACCACTCACCACAACCTCAGCACCACCACCACCTCACTCATCACCACAGCCTCACCACAATCTCACCGCACTCACCAGGCGGGTGAGACCACCATAACCACACTTGCCACAACCTCGCCATGCGCATTGCGGGTTTTGCCGCGGCCTCACGGCGGCCTCACAGCGGCCTCACTGAGGCCTCACCGAGGCCTCACCACGGCACCGCGGCCTCACCACGGCACCGAGGCCTCACCACGGCACCGCGGCCTCACCACGGCACAGCGGCCTCACCACGGCACCGAGGCCTCACCACGGCACCGAGGCCTCACCACGGCACCGCGGCCTCACCGTGCCGATGAACCCCCGTGCGTGCGGTGACGCAGGTGAAGAACGCGGCGGCGAACGTGCTGCGCGAGACGTGGCTCATCTACAAGCACACGAAGCTCGTGAAGAAGATCGACCACTCGCGCGTGCGCAAGCACCAGCGCAAGTTCCTGCAGGCGATCCACCAGTACGTGGGGGGGCGGGGGGGGGGGGTACATGGGTAGGTGTGAGGACAGCAATGATGATGATGATGTTTGTGAGTGCTAGGGCTGATGCTATGGTTTGAACTGATCCTAAGACTAATGTTCGGGCTACTGCTAGGGGCTATGACTAATGCTCAGGCTAGGACTAATGCTCAGACTAGGGCTAGGACTAATGCTCAGGCTCGGGCTACTGCTAGGGGCTAGGAGTAATGCTCAGGCTAGGGCTAGGACTAATGATCAGGCTAGGGCTACTGCTAGGGGCTAGGAGTAATGCCCAGACTAGGGCTAGGACTAATGCTCAGGCTAGGGCTAGGAGTAATGCTCAGACTAGGGCTAGGACTAATGCTCAGGCTAGGGCTACTGCTAGGGGCTAGGAGTAATGCTCAGGCTAGGGCTACTGCTAGGGGCTAGGCCTAATGCTCAGGCTCGGGCTAGGAGTAATGCTCAGACTAGGGCTAGGACTAATGCTCAGGCTAGGGCTACTGCTAGGGGCTAGGAGTAATGCTCAGGCTAGGGCTACTGCTAGGGGCTAGGCCTAATGCTCAGGCTCGGGCTAGGAGTAATGCTCAGACTAGGGCTAGGACTAATGATCAGGCTAGGGCTACTGCTAGGGGCTAGGAGTAATGCTCAGACTAGGACTAATGCTCAGGCTAGGGCTAGGAGTAATGCTCAGACTAGGGCTAGGACTAATGATCAGGCTAGGGCTACTGCTAGGGGATAGGAGTAATGCTCAGACTAGGACTAATGATCAGGCTAGGGCTAGGAGTAATGCTCAGACTAGGGCTAGGACTAATGATCAGGCTAGGGCTACTGCTAGGGGCTAGGAGTAATGCTCAGACTAGGACTAATGATCAGGCTAGGGCTACTGCTAGGGGCTAGGAGTAATGCTCAGACTAGGACTAATGATCAGGCTAGGGCTACTGCTAGGGGCTAGGAGTAATGCTCAGACTAGGACTAATGATCAGGCTAGGGCTAGGAGTAATGCTCAGACTAGGGCTAGGACTAATGATCAGGCTAGGGCTACTGCTAGGGGCTAGGAGTAATGCTCAGACTAGGACTAATGATCAGGCTAGGGCTAGGAGTAATTCTCAGACTAGGGCTAGGACTAATGATCAGGCTAGGGCTACTGCTAGGGGCTAGGAGTAATGCTCAGACTAGGGCTAGGACTAATGATCAGGCTAGGGCTAGGAGTAATGATCAGACTAGGGCTACTGCTAGGGGCTAGGAGTAATGATCAGACTAGGGCTACTGCTAGGGGCTAGGCCTAATGCTCAGGCTCGGGCTAGGACTAATGCTCAGGCTAGGGCTACTGCTAGGGGCTAGGACTAATGCTCAGGCTAGGGCTACTGCTAGGGGCTAGGACTAATGCTCAGACTAGGGCTAGGAGTAATGCTCAGACTAGGGGCTAGAAGTAATGATCAGACTAGGGCTACTGCTAGGGGCTAGGCCTAATGCTCAGGCTCGGGCTAGGCTAGTCCCAGTGTTGAGTAACTCACCAGGGCGGTGTAAGTGAGGCACTGTGAGGTGTTGCTGGTAGTGGTGAGTGAGTGGTGAGTCTGGTGAGTGGTGAGTGAGTGAGTGTATAAGTGAGTGGTGAGTGAGTGGTGAGTGAGTGAGTGGTGAGTCTGGTGAGTGGTGAGTGAGTGGTGAGTCTGGTGAGTGGTGAGTGAGTGAGTGTATAAGTGAGTGGTGAGTGAGTGAGTGGTGACTGAGTGAGTTGTGAGTGAGTGGTGAGTCTGGTGAGTGGTGAGTGAGTGTATAAGTGAGTGGTGAGTGAGTGGTGAGTGAGTGAGTGGTGAGTCTGGTGAGTGGTGAGTGAGTGGTGAGTCTGGTGAGTAGTGAGTGAGTGTATAAGTGAGTGGTGAGTGAGTGAGTGAGTGGTGAGCCAGTGAGTGTGTGAGTGGTGACTGAGTGAGTTGTGAGTGAGTGGTGAGTCTGGTGAGTGGTGAGTGAGTGAGTGTATAAGTGAGTGGTGAGTGAGTGAGTGGTGAGCCAGTGAGTGTGTGAGTGGTGACTGAGTGAGTGGTGAGTGAGTGGTTAGTCTGGTGAGTGGTGAGTGAGCGGTGAGTGTGTGGTGAGTGAGTGGTGAGTGTGTGGTGAGTGAGTGGTGAGTGAGTGGTTAGTCTGGTGTGTGGTGAGTGAGTGAGTGGTGAGCGTGTAGTGGTGAGTCTGGTGAGTGGTGAGTGAGTAGTGAGTGCGTGATAGTGAGTGGTGAGTCTGGTGAGTGGTGAGTGAGTGGTGAGTGTGTGAGTTGTGAGTGTGTGGTGAGTGAGTGAGTGGTGAGTGAGTCTGGTGAGTGGTGAGTGTGTGGTGAGTGAGTGAGTGGTGAGTGAGCGGTGAAGGCTGGTGAGTGAGTGAGTGGTGAGTGTGTGGTGAGTGAGTGGCGAGTGAGTGGTGAGCGTGTGAGTGAGTGGTGAGTGTGTGTCTGTGTGGGTCTCAGGCTGCGCAGTGTCAAGATGGAGCAGAGGAAGCTGAACGACCAGGCCAACACTCTCATCGACCTGGCCAAGGTGAGCCCGGACACCGCAGCGCCACCTCTCCCGCGGCTCCGTGTCCCCGTGTGTCCCCGCGTAGACACACAACGTGTTGTCTCTGCGTAGACACGCAACGTGATGTACGACACGGTGTCTCTGTGGTGTCTCTGTGTAGACACAGAACGTGATGTACGACACGGTGTCTCCACGTTGTCTCTGCGTAGACACAGAACGTGATGTATGACACGGTGTCTCTGTGTTGTCCCCGCGTAGACACACAATGTGATGTACAACATGGTGTCTCCACGTTGACCCCACATAGACACACAATGTGATGTACGGCACGCTGTCTCCGTGTTGTCTCCACGTAGACACAGAACGTGATGTATGACACGGTGTCTCCACGTTGTCTCTGCGTAGACGCAGAACGTGATGTATGACACGGTGTCTCCGCATTGTCTCTGTGTAGACGCAGAATATGATGTACGACACGGTGTCTCCACGTTGTACCCACGTAGACACACAACGTGATGTACGACACGGTGTCTCCGCATTGTCTTTGTGTAGACGCAGAATATGATGTACGACACGTTGTCTCCACGTTGTCCCCACGTAGACGCAGAACGTGATGTACGACACGTTGTCTCCACGTTGTCCCCACGTAGACGCAGAACGTGATGTACGACACGTTGTCTCCACGTTGTCCCCACGTAGACGCAGAACGTGATGTACGACACGGTGTCTCCACGTTGTCCCCGCGTAGACACACAATGTGATGTACGACACGGTGTCTCCGCATTGTCTCTGTGTAGACACGCAACGTGATGTACGACACGCTGTCTCTGTGGTGTCCCCGCGTAGACGCACAATGTGATGTACGACACGGTGTCTCCACGTTGTCTTTGTGTAGACGCAGAACGTGATGTACAACACGGTGTCCCCGTGTTGTCCCCACATAGACACATAACGTAATGTACGTCACGCCGTCTCTGTATTGTCCCCGCGTAGACGCAGAACGTGATGTACGACACGCTGTCTCTGTATTGTCCCTGCGTAGACGCAGAACGTGATGTACGACATGGTGTCGGAGCTGCACGAACGCAGCGAGGACACGGAGAAGCGCGTGGCGGCTCTCGAGGGCAAGGTGGACGCGCTGGCCGAGAGTGTCCACGCGCTTCCCGCGCTGCTCGCCCGGCTCCTGGCCACGCAATATCCCCTCCACGTCCCCACCGCCCCCACCGCCCTCACCGCCCCCGCGGCGGTCCCCGCCGGAGGGGCCTCCCCGGCCGTGCCCCCCGTCGCTCCGATCGTCAAACGGCAGCAGCAGCAGCAGCCGACTCCGCCGCGGATCGTGAGCGGCAGCAGCGGTAGCGGCAGCAGCAGCAGCGGCAGCGGTGAGTGACGCCGGGCAACGTGAAGTGGAGACGCCCCGATGGGGGTTGTCAAAACTTCGCTCTGTTCAAGAGAGTTCCTCGTGTAGCGGTCGGTACGCTGGTATTGGTCAGCATGCAAGTAGCGGGTCAGCGGAATTTGTACATGGAAGATTTTGAAACAAAAGCAATAGCTGGAAGCACACTAAAAGCCTCCGCTTGGTGGCTTGGGCCGCACGGCAAAGATACACTTAACGAATTTCTAAATCATCAAAAAAATCATGGATATTCTGTTCGGACGTGGTTGAAATGGTAAAATAACACAAAGCTCTTCTTCTTGGTTTTTTCGGTAAAGTCACGTAGAAGGGAAATAATAAAAGAATAAAAATTAAACATAATAAAATAATTTTCACGACGTTTCGGAAGACAGAGAAGAATAGGTCTGTCGGGAAGACAGCGTCTGTCTTCCCGACAGACCTGTTCTTCACCTGAGGACGGCTGCTTGCGTTGTGGCCGAAACGTCGTGAGAATTATTTTATTATGTTTTATTTTTATTATTTTATTATGTCCCTTCTACGTGACTTTACCGAAAGAACCAAGAAGATGAATCCCTGCAGTCACGAAAGCTTTAAATCGAAAAATAACACAAAGCGCTAACCGAAAGAAAACGCACAGAAATCCGCTCTCATCAAGACACTCGTACATCGAGCTAATAAAATATCAGATGGTGATAGTCTGAGAAGTGAAATTAAACATGTTAAAGAAGCACAGTTACAATGGTGCACAAATCAACAGGGCATTGAATGCCAAAACCAAATCAAATAACACGAGCATTGAAACTGACAAAGTCGTTAAAACTATTGAAACACTGTACATTGCGGACGTAACTGATAAACTAGCCAGATGTTTGGATTTGGCACGATACATAAAATACAGAAATTAATATCTGGTACAAAAGATGTATTACCGAAGCTATCAACAGAAGGTGTGTACCGGATTAATTGCACTTGTGGCAAATGTTATGTTGGGCAAACAAGACGAATGATCAGCACGAGACTAAAAGAACACCAAATAAATATTAAATACTCCCAAATACAACAGTCAGCAGTAGCAGAAGACGCATGCCAACAAGGACACTCAATTAATATTGATAATGTCAAAGCTCTGTGCAAAACTAGTTACAATTGGCCAAGACTAATTAGAGAATCGAAATTGAGAGAAATTAAAATAATTGTAACTGTTCGGATAGCTACAGAGTTGGTGCTGCTTGGAAGCGAATCATCAAATAATACCTTGTTTAGATGCATGCCTATACAGGTCGCAATACTTCAATAAGGATTACCGTTGATAATTGTTTTTTTACCCTTCTATCTGGCAACAAAACTGACACCTTTTTTACAAGGAGTCATGTTTGCATAGACCACAATACCTGCAGTAGGAATGCAAACAAAAAACATAACTCTGATAATGTATGCATTGTCCTTGAAATTGATTGGTCCACACTCGAGACAGCTTTCTTTAGAGCCTAGTCTCACATGGGTTGGACCAGATGACGCCTTTTGGCCTTTTGGCATCATCTGGTCCAACCCATGTGAGACTAGGCTCTAAGGAAAGCTGTCTCGGGTGTGGACCAATCAACTTCAAGGACAGTGCATACATTATCAGAGTTATGTTTTTTGTTTGAATTATGACTGCAGGTATTGTGGTCTATGCAAACATGACTTTTTGTAAAAAAGGTGTCAGTTTTGTTACCAGATAGAAGGGTAAAAAACCAATTATCATATTTTTACTGGCAAATGAGGTTCCAATGGTGTAAAGGATTATCGTTGGTACGGCTATTTTAGTACACACAACCGTCAAGAAGTACAAGAACAATAGGCTTGCATAATGCACATGGTTTATGCAATGGATACCCATAGTGGATACCCATAGTCATTTATAGGCATTCATTAATCCCCCCCCAAGTGATGTCATCGTATCTACCCCTCTATTTAAGGAACGAAACAGGACGATTTCTCCACAAATCTGGCTGTCGCCTGATGAAGCTGGTTGTAATTACTGACGAAACGTCGTGTTTATCATAATTAATGCTCCGCATATGTACCCAGAAAAGCCTCACTGAGTCTCAAAAGACTTTGCTTGACGATAATGGATCCTGCAAAGTTTTTGAGAGTAAAGGCATACATTTTGAGGAATATGCGGTGTAACTTTACCGCCACACCAGCACAGCTTTGGGATGCGTCTTACTTTCTGGAACTTCTCATGAATACGATCCAACTGCAGGATTTTGATGGAAACAGTGTCTATTTGAAATGGTCGCGTTATAAGCGTGGTTGTATTATTATAAAATGACTGGCAAAATGTGGCACTCAAGATTGTAAATGTTGTGGCTTGGCTCTCCAACACACCGGTGTGCTGTACTAGTGACGAATTGGCACGTTCTGTCTACGTGACAACCCTTACTAGGTGGCTGTGTCGGGTGGTGGCGGGTTTAATGACATATTGATATATTTACGCGATCTAACCCAAAAAACCTCTATTCTGGGTATTAGTCTGCCAGCAGGGGGCGATGATTGCTGCCCTCTGTGTAATCCAAATTGAGTGATTTATTAATATTTGTCATTCATTGTTGTGAAGATGATGCTGACGATGTTCCACATTTCTAACGATCCCACGGCTTTGACGACCAGACAGACTTACAGACGTACAGACGTACATACCCCGGGACAGACTTACAAACGGACGGGCAGAGTGACTGACTGACCAAGACGTCGACAGACACGCACAGACTTACAGAAACAGAGAGACGTATTAACACTCGGCCGTACTGAATTGACTGACACACTGGCAGACGTAGACACACAGTTATGGAGAGGCACACAGATAGGTAGACAGACACAGTTTCGAACAGAGAAAAATACATACTGTATATAGACAATCAGATGGCAGATGTACTCACAGACATACAGACAGATACACAGACCTAAAGACAGATTTCCAGACTGACGCGTTGACGATAAAACACGCACAGGAACGTACAGAAACTCAGACAGACACACAGACGAACTGAATTGGACACACGCACACAGACTTGCAGATGGACAGGGAGACAGACAAACACACGGACTTAGAGACCCACAAAGAGACGGACTGACTTGCACACACACAGGGACTTACAGATGGACAGACAGACAGACGGAGGAGCCCTTGTGTGGGCCTGCGTGTGTGCAGGTGACGAAATCAACTCCGGGCACGGTGGCGTCACCAGAGCTGGCGGTGTCAGCACCGGCGGCCACATTGATGTCAGCGCTGTCGGCCATCTTAGCTCTGGCCGCCATCTTGGTGCCGGCGGCCATTTTGGCGGCGCTCAGGGGGACGGCGGCCAGGTCGGTGGAGGCGCCTGCGCCCGCGGCCATCTTGTTGCCGGTGGCCATCTTGGCACCCGCGGCCATCTTAGTGGTGGCGCTGGTGGCCATCTTGGTACCGGTGGCCATCTTGATGGCAGTGGCGGCGGCCATCTTGGCGGTGGTGGCGGCGGCCTGGCGACACCCTCGCACTCCATGTTGCCCCCACTGTACGAGAGCATCTCGTGAGAAACAGCGACGCTCTCCACATTTCCTGCATCGTCTCCCGCATCATCATCATCTCCCGGCAACAGTCACAACGACCCAGCGCGACCAGGTGGAGCAGAGGCGAGCGACTCCCTCCACCGCACAAGCAAGGAGGCCACGGGTTCGACTGCGTTATGTGGTCGGCTTGACGGATCGCGCGAGATGGAATGGCGTTAAAGCTCAACTCGGTATCATCATCATCATCGTTGTTATTACCACTGTTCTGATCGTTGTTATTTGAGAACTATATTTTTCCCGACATGGAAAAGACGTTGAGGAAATTGCGTCAAACTAAATGTCGTTAACAAGCAGCAAAGAGGAGCAGGACTGTAATGGAGCCAAAATGAAGACTACAAAGTCTCGTTTTTTGTGGACCAGAACACACCGCTGAGTTCCTCCATTTGTGCAACATTCGCAGAGCCTTAAATGATCTGTCGTGTGCGCAGACGCACGCACGCGCGCGCGGATACACGCACAAACACGAACATACAGCCTGTGTAGGCTGTCGGGGCAAGTACAGACACACGGAGACACACATAGGTACACGCACGCATGGGCACGTAATGTTGGTGATGTCGCCACAGCGCTTGGTGCTTTGGCTGTCCAGTGTGGGCAGCATGACCCAGCCAACACAGCCTTGCTTGCCAGAGGAGCTCACTGATGGAATGTCCAGATCTTTCAAGGATCTGTGAGCTCACACAATCCAGCCTGGTTGAACCCAGGATGGATCATAGGCAGGCCAGTCGGCACATTTAAAGCATGCTCCAGGTTCAGCGGCAGAGTCTCCAATGCCTCCAATGCCTTCTCAATTACCAGATCATCAACATTAGAGAGCCATCCCGTGACCGCTCCAGGGCATTGATCAGTCTCCCATTGTGTTTGTACCAGATGGAAATTTCTCTGTTACAGTTTGGAATGGTTCTAAAACTACGTGGTAAAAAATACGTTAAATAATGTAGGGGACAGAGGGCATCCCTGTCGTACCCCAAGGTGAACAGGATATGGCCCTGATTCTTGGCCAAGCAGCTTTACCAACATGAAGATACTTATGATTGTGAGCAGAGGGTCATGAAGCCCGAAAGTACGAAAAATAATCCAGAGCCCTGGCCTCGTGATGGTATCATTGGCCTTGACCAGGTCAATAAACCAGAGATGTAGGTCCTGTTGAATTTCTATACACATCTGCCTGTAGCAGATGGACATGAGACAGACCCAGGTGTTACGGGTTGACTGAGATGACTGGCAGGTAGACCACCAGTGCCCCCGATTGTGCCAACTGTGTGCTGGCAACAGACATATCTACGAACACGTACACCTACCTAACGTGAACTCGTACATATAGCAACACACACTAATGTCACTTACGTAATACGGAAACGCACGACTTCATATGCTTATGCACGTGCACGCGCACACAGACAAACACAACACGACACATAGACGCACATGGAGACACGTGTTCAGTACTTTGCTGTATTGATTTCGTTTTGAGTAGTGTACTGTTTTGTGATCCCAGTGTAAATGTAACGGCCATGACGAGATACACCCAAGGCCTTTCGTTACTTGAATTGAAAGTAACGCCGCGTTGAATCAATTCCATCACTTTTCTAAAAAAATGCACCCAAATATAATTATGCGCGCGCAATCAAAATGTCCGTCCAGTCTCACAGCCGCGCCGATGGCAGCGTTGCCCATGGTGGTGGTGGCGGCGGCCATATTGGTGGCGGTGGCCATGTTGGCGTCGGTGGCCATGTTGGTGGTATTGAGCACAATACTAGCCGTGTTCGTGGCCGCATCGGTGGTGGCGGCGGCGGCCATATTGGTGCCTGTTGCTACGTTGTTGGCCATATTAGTGGTCATCTTGGTGGTGGTGGCCATAGTCGTACCAGTTGGTGGCGGTCATGTTAATGGCGGTATTTGTGGCCATGGTGGTGGCGGTGGCCCTATTGGTGGCGATATTCTTGGCCATATCGGTGGTTATAGCAGGTGCCTAGGTCGGTGGTCAGGGCAGTGCCAAACTTGGATGATTTACAGACACTTAGGATTCATTAGAAAAGCCAAAAACTCAAGGGGGGGGGGGGAGGTGCAGTGCGAATATACCATGCTGACCCTGGAGGCAGTGGTGGAACATCCACATTCACATGGCAGGGGGACAGTTCATCTCCAATTTTATCCGCTGCCGACTTGCCACAAAGCGGCACTGAAAGAATAAGAATCGTGCAGAACTCGCCCGAGCCAAAATTAAATCAACCTCTTTCCAGATGTCACGCCTTTATCAACGTGTATTCGTGTGTCCCGCAAGCGATCAGGGTTAAAGTTCGACTCCCGGTATCAAACGGGTGCGTCCAGCTTCGGCGCAGAGCCACGCGTCGCTCAAGCCGACGTTTGTTCCGAGTGCATTCCCAAGTGCGAAGTTCGATATTTTTTTAATTTTTGTTTTATTTTTTTCTCCCAAAAAAAGCAGCACTCAAGCGGCACCTCCCAAATGGGGGGGCGCCACGCACATCCGCCGAACAACACGAGCGCGCGTGGCGCCCATCAGCGCGTGCGCGCGCGTGCGCGCGCAAGCGCGACGTGGGTGTCACGTGCGCGCGCGACGCGGGTGGCACGCGCGCGACACAGGTGGCACGTGCACACGCGGGTGGCACACGCGGGTGGCACACGCGCGCGCGGCTTGCAACCCGCGTGGTGATTGTTTTTTGTCCGGGGACGTGGCGTCTCCGGTTTGAGTGGCAGCTGTTGTTTTATATATATATAAATAAATAAAAATACTGCAGCCTTATTGTACACTAAACACCCACGATACTTCATACAAGAAATGTCATAAATTATTACAATTGTTATTAATTATATAATGAATAAATCAATACTTTTCTGAAGAAAAAAAAAACACTCGGCTGGTTTTTTTTTGGTTGCTGCTCAAATTGTTATTCCACTCGTGTTTGTCCGTTGTGTCATTCCATTCGCGAAGCCAGTACTGTACTCCTACACCATTCAGCTACACAGGGAAACCCTCGCTGAGCCTGAAGAGTCATTTCAGATGTCCCTGCGTGTTGTGCCCTAATTTAGTAATTCGCCGGTAAGATTATTTAAACCTTGACCCTTCGAATAGCCCGATTCTGTGTTCCTTTACCATTTAGTTACCCAGGGAAACCCTTGCTCAGCCTGAATAATAATTTCAGATGTTCTTGCGTGTTGTGCCCCAATTGAGTAATTCGCCGGTAAAAGATTCTTTAAACTTTGACCCTTCGAATAACACGATACTGTGCTCATACAACATTCAGTTACCCAGGGAGCCATTTCTTTCACACCCCACGTAGCCAACCGTGCAAATCGGAGGTGCGGGGGAAGAATAACAAACTAAACACAAAAAGCAGTACTAGTGGCTTCCTAATTATCGGAATGAAGAGTGTTCCAGACGGCCGTAGAAGCGCAGAAGCGGCCGTCTGAAAGCGCGCGACGCTATGACCGTCTTTGACAAGTGATAACCTACTGCCCCTTGTCAATCCACTGCTGGAGGAAGAACCTCCTCGCATCTTGCGGTTCATGGGTGGGTGGTTGTTCGACCGTACTTGAGTGCGATTGTGGTGAAGGCGTGGATGGTGGCGGGGGGCGGGGGAGGCTGTGGTGGTGGGCGTGAGGACCGCTTCAGATGTCACCCGCCACTGATGATGTCTGCCGTGGCCGAAAGTCAACCCCTCAATTCGCCGGGTTCATGGCAGAGGTCGCAAACGGGTTTTGATTCCTTACCCGTACCCGGCCGCACCAGGGTCGCAAATGGGTACCCGTACCCGGCCGAGTACAGGTAGCCGTACCCTACCCGTACCCGTACCCTACCCGAAATGAGTGACAAACGGTTACTCACCAGTGACTAACGGCCTACCTGTACCCGTACCCGGCCGCACCAGGGTCGCAAACGGCTATCCGTACCCAGCCGGGTACGGGTATCAGGTAGGGTACGGGTATCGGGTACCCGTTTGCGACCTCTGGTTCATGGCGCAGTAGGCGTAAACCACGGCCCCATCGCATGGAGGTGTTCGTCATCGGCCGTGATCGATGCGCCGCTGGATGACGGCCTCTCCCAAGCCGTCGCCCGTCTCTCAAAGGTCTCGCGATTCCACAATGAGTCCATCCAGCTTCTGCACGCGAGTTAAACCGTTCGTAGAAAATTCAATGAAGGCCCCGTCATAGAAATGGGGAATTTCCACCGCTCGCACAGGGTTGCCAACCGAGATGGGCTCTGTCCCCGACGTTAGTTTGAACAAGAGCCACTTTGATGCCCTTGAAGTGACTTAATCATTAACGTAAAATAAATAGGCATAGGTCTACAAAGGGAGAGAGCTCTGCCAAGTTATGGGAATGCATAATCCTAGCTAAGTATAGGTCTACATAGATACAGGTCTACATATATACTGTAAAATAGGGACACATAGGCATATGTCTACATTGGTAGAGGGTACATAGGCATTAGTCATACATACCCTGCTGTATTTTTGCTCTGAGTCTACGGGTCTACGTAAACGTACACGCGCCTCCATGAAAGTCGCCGGCGACCGGACCGAGACCATCCACTCACCCGCACGTCAAAACGTGGTTTTTAATCGATGAGTGTATTTTGAGAGCCAGCTTTTACATTTTTTTTAGACGCAGCATTCATCACGCGACTCGGAACACACACCGCCCACTGGAGCTCCCAAGTGATGCATGGGGTGAGCAGGCAGGGTTGCAGTAACGCAGTCCCGTTCATTTCATTGGCGTTTAATCATCATTAATCACTGAATAGCCGCGGCTCCATTGTCTGGCCGTGGCAAGGAAAGTGACCGAGTGGGATCAGAGGAGTTCATAATGGCCGTGTCGGTGACACTGAGCCAGTGATGGGCTAGAGACTTGGGTCTCAGAGATGTTCATAATGGCCGTGTCAGTGACACTGAGCCAGTGGCACCGCTGTGCTGGGCTAGAGATCTGGGACTCAGAGAGGTGCATAATGGCCGTGTCGGTGACCCTGAGTCAGTGACCACCGCTGTGATGGGCTAGAGACCTGAGATTCAGAGAGGTGCATAATGGCCGTGTCGGTGACCCTGAGTCAGTGACCACCGCTGTGATAGACTAGAGACCTGAGACTCAGAGAGGTGCATAATGGCCGTGTCGGTGACACTGAACCAGTGGCCACCGCTGTGATGGGCTAGAGACGTGGGACTCAAAGAGGTTCATAATGGCCGTGTCGGTGACACTGAGCCAGTGGCCACCGCTGTGATGGGTTAGAGACCTGGGACTCAGGTTCATAATGGCCGTGTCGGTGACACTGAGCCAGTGGCCACCGCTGTGATGGGCTAGAGACGTGGGACTCAGAGAGGTTCATAATGGCCGTGTCGGTGAAACTGAACCAGTCCACCGCTGTGCTGGGCTAGAGACCTGGGACTCAGGTTCATAATGGCCGTGTCGGTGACACTGAACCAGTGGTCACCGCTGTGATGGGATAGAGACCTGGGACTCAGAGATGTTCATAATGGCCGTGTCGGTGACACTGAACCAGTGGCACCACTGTGATGGGCTAGAGACGTGGGACTCTGAGAGGTGCATAATGGCCGTGTCGGTGACACTGAACCAGTGGCCACCGCTGTGCTGGGTTAGAGACCTGGGACTCAGAGATGTTCATAATGGCCGTGTCGGTGACCCTGAGCCAGTGGCCATTGCTGTGATGGGTTAGAGACCTGGAACTCAGAGATGTTCATAATGGCCTGCCAGTGACACTGAGCCAGTGGCCACCGCTGTGCTGGGCTAGAGACCTGGGACTCTGAGATGTTCATAATGGCCGTGTCGGTGACACTGAGCCAGTGGCCACCACTGTGCCGGGCTAGAGACGTGGGACTCAGAGAGGTTCATAATGGCCGTGTCGGTGACACTGGGCCAGTGGCCATCGCTGTGATGGGCTAGATACCTGGGTCATAGAGATGTTCATAATGGCCGTGTCGGTGACACTGAGCCAGTCCACTGCTGTGATGGGCTAGAGACCTGGGACTCAGAAATGTTCATAATGGCCTGCCAGTGACACTGGGCCATTGGACCACTGAGGCTCTGAGTTGAAGCCCAGGGTTTGTGTGTGTGTGTGCTTCTCTCAGAGAGGTTCCGAATGGCCACGAGGTCGACTCAATGAGTTCCCGGCGCGATGTTGACCACACAACCCCATCGGGTGCCCTGCCGGCTTTCATATGTCACGTGCCCCCTACGGTCTGTTCAGAGGCTATACGGGTTTCTTTGTCTTGGTTACGTAGACCTCGATTGACAAGCGGGAACACGTGTTTGGGGTGCGTCTTATTATCCGGCAGTGGACTTCGTGAGTTCATTTTGTTCCTGATCGGGGGGGAGGGGGCGGGGTAAGTGAGGGGGTGGGGGGCTAGGCTAGCGGGGGGGGGGAGTGGGGGGCTCTGATGTAGCTGTTGCTTAATTGAAACCGCTCTCGCCCTAATTAAATGCATTGACAATAGCGCACCGAGCCAGCCGTTACAATAATTTACTGGCTTATCGATCTTTACAATTCATTGCACAGCTTCTATCGATGGCATTCCACTGCTGGATGGATTAATTCATCTCCCCCCCCCCCCTACCGCATACCACACCGTGCGTGTGGGGGGGAATGGGGCTTGCTTGCGTTCGACCATACTTCACCACGCCGGTCAGTACGTGTTGGTTGGTGAACGGACTCGTTCGGATGCCGCTGGCCACAATCAAACTCAGGTGGCCGGGGCTTGTAGCGCGGTGCGCTGATCATCGCGCCACTACTCCAACAATGAATTCGCCTCAATTCATCAGGGATCCATCATCCACTGCTGGATGAAGGTCTCTTCCAGGCCGTCGCCATCTCTTCACAATCCCGCGTAGGGAAGCAACGATCCAGCTGCCGCCTGCGCACGAGCTGGACTCATCGCTCCGTCTCCCCGGTGGTCGTCCTCCCGGGAGTGGTGAGATGTTAACTACCTCGCCTGGTGTGCAGGAGGTCGTGGGATCGATCTTGACCCTGATGCCCGCTGCTGTATATTTGGAGTTTGCGTGCTTCTCTCTCTCTCATCATCATCACGGTGGCTGTGAGATGTTAACTGCCTTGCTTGATATGAAGGAGGTTGTGGGTTCGATCCCGACCCTGACGCCTGCTGCTGTATATTTGGAGTTTGCGTGTCTTCCTCTCTCATCATCATCACGGTGGCTGTGAGATGTTAACTGCCTTGCTTGGTATGAAGGAGGTTGTGGGTTCGATCCCGACCCTGACGCCTGCTGCTGTGTATTTGGAGTTTTCGTGTCTCTCTCTCTCCCCATGGTCGCGTGGATTTATCTCTGGGTCCTCCATTTTTTCCCTCCACACTTTCCCCAACAGTCTGTTAAGGCTATACGGGGGATCTTGTCTTTGTTTGTAGGGAGATCTGTGTAATGTGTGTGTGTAACGTGTGTGCCACGTGTGTGTGTAACGTGTGCTGTGTAAAGTGTGTCTGTAGCATGTGTGTAACAAGTGTGTGTGTGTGTAACGTGTGTGCGTGTAAAGTATGTGTGTAACGCTTTTTTTTCGTTGGATCGAGGGGGCTAAACGGGCACGACACGGGCTAGAGAAGAGATGGAGCTGATGCGGTTACGGGAGGACGTGGAGCTGAGCGGACTTGCCGATGAGCGGTACCAGCGGTGTCAAGATCGACCTCTGTGGAGGATCGTGAAGGACGCTGCTGCTGCTGGGCAGTTGGAGGCAGTCGCCCTCCAGCGCTAAATGCCTTCAAGCTATCAATTCCGGTTCAGTGATTCTGCACTTG